ATTTCTTTCTTTCTCTAGTGAAATAGTAATATCTACATAAAATTACTTTATAATGGCATGATTTATTTTTCTTTCCACATGGGAAAGAAAAATAATATTATATAGGGCTATATAATATGATGGTGTTCTATAAAACACCATCATATTATATAGCCCTATCCTCACTATTATGACTTTACCAAGATACTTAAAGTAGTATAGCATTCTAGTTAAGACAAGCCCTGAATATTTGCTTCCAGTGTTCTTGAGCCTATTTATTTTCTTTTATCAGTTTCCAGCATAATTAATATACTGCTGACAACCAAGAGGGCTTTTTTCCTACAGTTACTGAGAGGAGAAAAGCCTTTTGGGTCCTCTCACAATGCTTAAGGTATAAAGGCAGGAGACAGAAAATAAACAGGATCAGGACCAGCAAGACCAACACACAGGGGAAAGAATATCGTTAACAAGAATTGGAGGTCTACATTTGTTCCCATAAGTGGAGAGTGTCATGGGGGTGGAGGAATAACTGCATCCCTCAGATGGTACCTTTTGGTGTTTGGTTATAAGGTTTCTTTGTGTGAAAAACAGATGCAAGACTAGAAGGGTCTGGCCTGTGCTTTGCTCTTCGTGCACTCTGCCTTCTGGTACATGTGGAATGTAGTTTCCCTCCTCCACGTCCCTCTGTGTGCATTGGAATGCAAGACTAACATAATGGAGAAAAAATACCTTTTCTGAGAATCAACCATCAGTGTTTTAGAGCACACTGAATAAGAAAATCTCTGTATAAAATGAACCACTGCATGAATATAGCAGTTCAAATTCACTGCTGGCAAAAGTGGAGTCTACTTTGACTTTTTATGCTAGTTGTAATAGTGTTAAAACTAACCTAGTAACTGTCATATTTAATACTAGGAAATACAGTATACAGTCCTATGGGAAAACAAAGGCATTTGACTGTTATTCCCCGTTTAATTTAATTGCTTTTTTTAAGACAAAAATCAGTGTATTTTATGAACATTTTTCCAGTGTGCCAAAAGATCCCAGTGTTCCAAAATATAAATGTAGATTGTTGCTTCACAGGGCCCCCTCCAAACATGCCATGTGACTCAGGGTAGTGTTACTTTTGTGGACACACTCCAAAACATACCATGTGACTCATGGAAATGTTCCTTTCATATGAAAAATCTTCAAAGTCTGTAACATATGATATAATAAATCTGTTTCACCCGTATCTGAAGAACTAATTGGACCAGTTCCTTACTGTGTTTAAAATCGGCAAATCTTTATTGGATTATGAAATTATGGTGACTTGCATAATCTGAAGAGCCAGTCAGTTGTGTTAATTTTTACTGTGAGCTAGGCTTTCTTCTATCACTTGCCCATAAAGATGTGTGTTACAGCTAAAAGAAAAGCATAAAAGTGCTTCCTTTGTTCCTTATTTTGAATGTCTTTTATTAAGGGCCATTCCTAAGGCTGCAATAATATGTTCAAATTTACATTTCTTTCATGTCCAAAAACTCCTATTTTAATAAGTGTAGACCCAGATGATTTTGGAAATCATGTTCCCCAATGAATTCTGCTTGAGTTTATGAACTCTCTGTACATAGTTTAATCCAACTACAACTCCATTTTTACTCTAAAGCAAGTCTGCCTTCTTTGTTGCCTGTTTATGGGGTTTTAACACAGAAGTAATGATGGAGGGATGGTCTTTTACTCGAATAGAAACATCCATGGCCAATCCAAGAAACTCTGTCCATCCAGGTAGGCTAATAACTAACTAAGCAACAAATTTATCTGATAGGGCTAATCAGGATATCACATGACCAGAGAAGACTGTCATTGTCTCACCAGGAATTTTAGAGAAGAAGAAAAGCAGAAAGGAAGGCTGTGCAAAAGGAGGAACTTGGACTTTCAGAGGGTCCTGATCTGTTTCGAAAGACTATTGCGGAGTGGTGAGGAGACTGATGCACCAAAGAGTGAGTGGGAGTTTTACTCTTTTGTTAGGGTCCATATCTCTTCATTTTTCAGCATAGAAGTTTTATGCGTTTCAACTGTCATATCTACAGAGTGGTTAGCTGGGAAAGGATGTGGGCATAAGCAGATAGGGGGTCTTAGCAGGGTCTAAACAGGTGCTGGAGTCCTCCAGCAACTGAATTGTGAGACCTCACTTCTGTGAAGGCATAGAAGAGTCTGCCCAGGAAATGTCAGAAGATAAAGAAGATGATGCTAGAGAGACTGGTTAGACCAAGGGAAAGTCTAAGTATAGGACTGGACTGTAGGTCCAGTGTGGAGCTGTTCACCTGAGGGAGCTTTACCATGACACACTTATCCATGAATGTCACTTTTGAGAGCTCAGAATTAAAGATTATAACTATTGTCCCACATAAAGCTGTGTACTTGTGCCTTTAAGTAATGGCACCATTGCATTTGAATGCTAGAGTCCCTTGCTCAATTTTGAGGAGGGAAAGAAGCTTTCTATAAAAGTTTTAGTAGCACCTTCTGGTGTTTTTTACACAGTCCATGCAGAATCAGGTGCTGCTAGCAGGTCTAAGTCAAGAGTAAAGCTCTTTAACATCTTTACTATGTCAAGAAAAGCCTCCATGTTGACGCCTATATCATTCCAAAGATGTGTATCACTGGCAGGATATACATAAGCCCTGCCTTTCCCTTTGCAGTCACTTCCGCAAGTCTTCCAAGTGACTTGTAACATTTGAATAATGAGTTTATATCAGTCTGCAAATAATGTACAAAGAAATGTCATGATTTGTATAACACCTACCTGGCATCAGTTCCAAGAATGAATAAGTGGGTGTGTTGCACTAAAAATAGTAGCCCAACTACCTTTTGACATGATAAATACCTCCACATTGTTGTAAAGATGCTGCACAGGCTATGCCTAAAGACGAAGAGGTGGTAATGCCATTGCTACTTTCACATGCTAGCAGCTGTATTTGGTGCTTCCCGCCAGTCTCTTGGGCATTCTGCCTATCACAGGAAACACTCAAAACTGCTGCACATTAAAACAAACCACAAATGTTTCTCAGTGAGAGAGAGAGAGATGTTTTCCTGGAAGAAATGCACGCATTTCAAGAATGAGCTCCTTTTTCTAAGAAGTACTCTACTTTCCCACTTCATTTTAATCCTTTCTTGGTTCTACAGGTGTGGTGGAAATTGTTTTTATGGTTTGCATAACGCACTGGTTTTGTAAAAACAATGACTGAGATGTTTAATTCATGTTGGTTGCCTGTACAATGAACTGTATAACTAAGCATGTCTAAAACTACTCTTGCTATAGCAAAATCTGATCAATCTATACCCCATTTAATATTGAATCTGCATCAAAAGCTAATAAAGGATAACAATGCATCAACAGTGAGTAATGTTACAGGAGAACTTGAATGCAACTCTATTTAACGCTAAAGGCAACACTTAATGTGCACAACATAGGCAAGTGCAAGTAGTCAGTGAAGGAAACCTTTCTGAAAGCACTTTTTTGTCTTGAGATCAGCATCTAATCTTTTCTTCTTATCTGGTAGACTCATAGTAAATGACTCACTACTTCCATTTGTGCTACTCTTGAGTAGAGATGCATAGTATAAATACAGTTAGCATCAGTCATCTACTTCCAGAGTAAGGAGGAGAAACTCAGTTGTGGAATGGGGTAAGTGCCACTACTCCAGCACTGTACTCTCATCAACCAGTCCTGTGGAAACTTCCTTAGGAACCTTGTAGACCCCCTTATTTTGCAAGAGATGGACTGGCCATCCTCCAGGTCATCAGTCCTATTCAATCACATGGAACATATTTCTAAATGAACTCTGTCACTCCTACCTAGGTGTGTGTGTATTGGTAGGGTGGGGTAAGGAAGGGCAGTTAGATGGAAGAAGTACCCAAAGCAAAGATAGAAATAAGGAGCTATTAACAGTTCACTGGTAAAAATCCAGGAGCCAGTGCGGAAGCATGTGGTCTATATGTGGATATCCAGTGTGATCAACCCTGAAATTAATCCTCATGCACCTTGAATGAGCTAGGGAGCTAAGCACTGACCGGATTATGCCTGTGAGGAAACTGAGCCAGGCAGGGGTGACTAGTGCCTCCTGAGTCTGGGGGGGGACACAATATATGGGCGGGCCCTGGGGGAGGCCAAAAGCCCCATATCCTATACTTGTGTGCTGTGGCTTAGTGCTCCCCCTCAACACTCTGTTGGCCCACATGGCAAAAAAACTGCCCCATCCTGAGCGGTGCCAAGTCAGGGGCCAATCTCCAGGGGGAACACATGCCCCCCCCCCCAGGCCCTCCCTACCAGTCGCTTGTGGAGCCAGGGAAATGAGGGAACTTCAATGTCAGGGAAAGAATTGGAAGTGAAACCAGAGGACAAGCTGCATTAAATCTGCATCTACAGCTTGACACAGCAATAGCTGTTATTTTTTTCCTCTTGCAGGTCTTTCCCATCAGGCCCCACACAAGCATGCATTGATGCCCAGGGGCATGCGCAAATATGCAGGCAGCCTGTCTTTCCAATACTGGTAACTGACAACACTGCCAAGAAAATTAACCAGCCCAAGTGTGAAATTTGCTTCCCCACTCTTATGAAGATGCTAAAGGAAAAATGGTATTTTATGGACTTAAAAACCTTACTCCACATAAATGTAAAAACAGACTTTGTCAAAGCTTTGCCAGTTGGTATACTTTCCCTGGGTTCAAAAAATCCCTTCTTCCAGCAGCTGGAGTTTGCTACAGTACCTATCCCACTTTAATACCATGTAAAAAGGCCTAGGCATGTAACACATGGTGGTTTGGTTATAGCTAAATTCTCTGCTGAAGGCCAAACTGCAGGATGTTCATGGTTGTTGGGAGTCCTTTTCTGGTTATGTTAATGGAAAACCCCCTCCCATATTGGTAAAACAAGACCCTACTTGTCACTGTTTCTATAATGTATTAAAATATTTAATGTGAACAGGTGTGTTACATATTTGAGAAGGTAGGAAGGGAGAATATATGTTGATCAAAAATGGTACCTGAGTGACACTGGAAGCAACTACTATGACGGTCAGTAGTTTTCAGTCTCTTTGTTCCTATTTTGAAGAATCGTGCATGTTTTACATGCATATGCTTATATGGTCAGTCCTGTTGCTGTTTGCGGTAGTCTGGAATGACTTCCTTGTTCTCGTCGTGTTCCTATAGTGTTGTTCCTCTGCCTTGGAGGCAGTCATTCAAGAAAAAAGATGAGCTTGATGTAGGTCCCTGGAGACCCAAGTGTGATTTCATCAGGGCTACTTAAATGGTGAAGCGTTTTTTTCAAAAAGTCCCAATTTGCTTGTCCCTTGAGGTTGGTGACTTAAAGGCCTGGCCCCTGAAGTCATGCAGTTCCCTGGGACTCTCCATTTTCCTTGTTTCTAAGGAAGTTTCTTGTTCTCACAGTTGCAGAGAAAAGCCTGAACTTGTGGAGCGCGAAGGTTCAAAAAATGAGAATGCAGAACATCCCAGCAGGACGCTGGCTGCTGTGGTCCTCCTGCTTTACCTGTGGCAGGTTGTCAGGGTTGGTGGTATTCTTAGGTAGAGTTGTATAGCATGGTTTGGATAGGGCTGCTCCTGCCTCAGGCAGGGATCTGGATTACGTGACCTCTGGAGGTCCCTTCCAGCCCTTCTCTAGGATTCTGTGATTTTTCTATGTATTGTTTTTAAATCAGCCATGACTTGCGAACAGGTGCAGCTGCCCCCCGGGGGTAAACTGGCATGCAGGTTTCTGTAACCTTTGCAAGGTTGGAGCCTGTGACTTTTTGCCTCCGTTTCCCATTTTCAAAAGTAAGGAGAAGCCTTCCTTTTTTTCCCTCCAACGCGTGCTTTCCTGTTGTTGAATAAATGCTTCCCGGATCAGGATGATCTTATTGCAGGCTCCTAGCCCCGCTGTGCTGGGCGGGCACTGCACTAGGACCCATGGCTGTGAACGTCACAGGGGACACTGGCAGTCTTATTTCTGAGCCCTGACTCCCTGGTGCCAGGCGCGGGGGGAGCCCTCCGGGACCATAACCCCCTTCTGCAGCGGATGCCCGCAGCCGCGCACGAAGAGCAGGCCTGGGCAGCGTCGCTGACGCGCAGCCCCCTCCAGCGCCCGAGCTGCCCCGCGCCGGCGGAGAAGCCGGGCAGAGGCCCCTACCTCAGCTCCGAACGCTGGGGCCGGGCCCGGCGTGACGTCACGATCCCGGCGGGCTGTGACGTCGCGGGCGCTGCGGCGGGGCAGGGGCGCCGCTCGCCCCGGGCCGGTTACATAACGCT